CACAAATGATTCGCTGCGACACATGTGAAATCTCCTTCAGGTTTTCAACATATGCCTGTTGTTGACGCTAAAACCTCTTTCAACAGAGGCTTGTCCATGGCTCAAGACTAGAAGAAGTCCTACAACCTTTCACAGTTGCACATACAACGAACTGCAATCAGTCTTTAGCAGCTCAAGATAAAATTGATCCAGACTAGTAGAGTGTTTGTCAAACTGTCGCAGGTTAGGCTTTTTCTTCTGCAGAAGTTCAGCGTATTAACCAAGCACCATATCGCGCTCATGCTCATCTAATTGACCAACTGCTATGAGTGCGTCAAGGACTTTCCTAAAGCTTGTAAGACACTCATTAGGCTTTGAGGCCATTTGACAGGGGTTGAGCGAAGACAGGCTCCTAACCAGCTGATTTGCCAGTGGGCTCTTCTCTAGATTTTTTTCGTTGTAGCTAAAAGGAACTGTTTGCTTTCTATTTGCAAGGCAGACACTTTTTTGGCTTTCACATTTGCAGCCATGAAAACAGACGTGAAAGACCGCGTCCTTGCTCACTCCAGCGTTGTGCTCCAGAACCGCAAGTGGATGTCCATCTGTTTCTTTCGTAAGTAGTCGGTCAAGGACTCATCGAAAAGAATAGTGTACCCATCTGTCTGCCCACTTAATGTTTCAAGCTGGAGAGAAAAAATGGCCTTAGAACATGACACAAAACATACGCGGACTTCTCCCCACATGAGAATGCCTTAGCAATGCTGCTATCCTGGAACATTCTCCTGAACAAGTCTCCTGGGTGGGACGATGACTTGTAAAAAATAGCGGGACGTCACCATCTTCACGGTCCACAGTATCTCCATGTCGATCACACACTCGTGCGCTTGGCAGATGCTGCACACATGGCAGGACGATGGACCTGGCTCTACGCTTTGCTGAATGACTGTTGGCACCACGAACGCACTCAAGTTACCATGGACTGTAGTCTCTTTTGTGTTATAAATGTGTTTCACACTCTTCATGCGACTTTTGAGGGCAGACTCCCCTATTGATGACACGTCGAAGCTCTTCCCACATAGCTTACACTTTGCCCAATGCGAGTTTGACCTATCTGGTACAATCCACTCCCTAGAAACAGCAATGCATAACCAAGACTGTTGGGATTTGCACTTGCCTGGCATAGTTCCACCATAAGCGACGTAACTGCAAAAATGCGTGCACACTTTCACAGTCTCCAATAAAAAATAAAGCTTTGTTCCGTCGTTGCTACTGTAACCACACGAGAGCTACCACAACATTTTGATATGGCTGGAGAAACAGACCGGATTGGATAGTTTGTTTGCTTTAAGAGCACATAGTCGCCAGGTGCACAAAATAATCTACCAAATTACAGCTGAATGAACCTCAATTGGCGAAATTCAAGGACTTTTAAGGACCTCAAACAAGTTTAAGGGTTTTCAAGGCCTTGAAAATGTCATTTCACAATTCAAGAGTATTCAAGGGTTTCAAGAACCGCTACGAACCCTGACAATCTATGGAAGCCATCCAACATGGCAAAATGCTCGTGCGCTTTGACCCAACCAAGCTGTTGCAGCTCGAGTGTGTGACGCCTCTCCACATGGCATGGGAGCGGTTCTCTTCCATCAGGTTGACGGTGTCAACAAACTGGTAGGATTTCGTTTGCAAACACTCCTCCAGGCAGAACGAAATTATCCACAGCTTCAGTCTTAGCATTAGTTTTCGCGTAACCAACTTCCGTGATTACTTGCTGGGGCGGCTTTTCATTCTTGTAGCCCATCATAAGCCATTTGTTCCGCGAAGACCACCCTACACCTGTCATGGCAGACCCAGTGCTGGTCTTTGCACTGGAGAGCCTACCAATACCGAATAGAATGCAAGCCAGGAGGAGACAACCAAAACACCGACGTCATCAGCAGACTTTGTCTCAGAACCCCTGGCAATCTCGCCAAAGAAATACTGCCTTACAAGCACTAATTGTGGCAACTTGATGACAAGAGTGACGTCACACGAGCTTCACTGATTGACTGAAGCCTACAAGGTATTGCGAACAGTCAATTCGGTTATACTGAAAGGATGGCTGCAAGGAAAATATATGGAACCATGCTTGAAAGCGTGCATGGCAAGAAAGTTTGAATTGACGGTTGCACACGACCTGATCTTCTGGGGCCGCAGAATAGTCATTCCCGAGGCTGCACATGAGAGGCTTCACATGAGAGGCCCTTTAAATGTCACACAAGATAAATCCGGGATCCTCAGCTATGAAGGCGGTCTAGCAAAAAATGTGTAGTAACCAGCACTAGACCTATAAATGAAACAATTGAGTAAGAATTATGATATACGAGTGCAAGAAAGGCCGTTGCCTCCGGCAACGACACAGCTAAACTGGCCACCAACTCAAGAAAACTAGTCCAGCGTTCACCTCTATTTTGTCGATCCAGTGAACGATGCCATGATATCAGTGGCAGTTGACTACCACTCCAAATGAATTGAGACAGAGCCTATACAACACGCCACAGCTGAATCTATTGTCACGTCATTGCACGAGATGTTCTGTTGCTTTGGCATTCCTAGGACAATTGTTACAGACATCAGAACGCAGTTCATATCACAGATATTCACAAAGGTCTCGTCCAGAAACAACATGATACACCTCGGAACTGTGCCATAGCACCCACAGTCGAAAGAGCTCGCAGAGAGAGCTGTACGTACAAAGACTGCCCCAAGAAGCTTCCGCATGGTAGCCTGTCTACAAGACTGACCAGGCTTCTTTTCAACTATCGAAGACTGCAAGGCAATAAGTCACCTTCTCAGAGGCTACTGAACTCCCAAATTTGCTCTCATTCAGACACGTGTCTTCCTTCACCATTGTATTCTCCTTTAATTTTGCAAGAAGACACGCCACGCAGATTGGGTCTAGGTGGCGCAGTTTGGGCCCGCAACTTCGAAGATGGGGGTAGTGGCTACCTGGCACAATCAAACAATTGAATGGCACCCGTATGATGATCATCGAGACATCAGTCTTACACCTGAGCGCCTCAAGGACTAGGTTCGTCCAAGAGACAGCTCCGCGGCTGCAACAAACGAAGCAATGATCGGATCATCACCTGCAGCTCAAGTAAAGCCTAATGAAGCCTCCAACACTGAAGAAACAGCTGCGCTTGTGCTACCGCTTTCGACAAGAGCTAAGAAACCAGTACAGCGTATCCACCGTAAGAAGGAAAGGCTGCTGCAAAGCTATTGTGCTGCCTGGCTGTTAAGAGATAGCGTTTCTTTAGGCTTGCACTGAGTCGCACCAGACTGTACTGCATATAATTTCACGGTGGCTATAAAAATGATAGCCGCCTGAAATAAAACATTCTTGTTCAGACAACCTTTGTCTGGCGTACTACTTGGAAGCTATGCGCTCCACCTACCACCAAGATGTAGCACACATATTTGAAGAAATATGAGCATATTTGTCATGACCCAATTAACGTGCACATTATTCTCTTAAAATTGAAACAGTGGACTCCTGATAATTCGAAGTAGCTTAATTTGAATTATCGGTTAATTGGAAGTGGAGTGGGGGTCCCGTAAGTTTTGCATGCAGTTCAACAGGAAGAAATTCTCGGTAATTGGAAGCTAGAGGTCTGAAATTTCGATAATTCGAATTTATTTTCAATCGAATTCCCGGAGGAAATCGTAATGTTTGTTAAATTTCCTATTTTCGAAGTGCTAAACAACAATGCGTGTGCGACCGGCACCCAAGGGCATCGCAGTTGACCACAGCGCCACAGCTCAAAGTGTCAGCTGATTGCATCGCAGTTGCATGCAGCGCCCCATATCACTAAGCGGCTGCTCCGGCGGTTCCAGTTCCGGACCTCAGCGTTTCCACGTGCGACGAAGCTTCACGTGCATTTACTATGGCAACTCGCGGGCCTTATCAGACGTTTGACTTGGCATCTTGTACAGTGGGGGAAGAAGACACAAGTGAGCTTGACGTTGATGGTCTCCTGCCAGCTCTCGGCGACGTCCCTTTCGAGGAGTACATTGCCACTGACAGTTCGGTAGAAACGTGCGGTGCACTGTCGGACGCTGAGATCGTGGAGATGGTTCGGCCTAGCGAGCCTAGTCACGAAACTGAGGTTGACGACGAAGACGCCGCAAGTGAGCCACTACCGCGGGCTGCTGATGTAGCCGCAGACCTTGCCTTCGCGCAGCGGTTTTTCACTGCTGAAAGCAACGCCGAGGAAGCACTCGGGCACATATACAGCCTGCAGGATTTGCTTTCTGCTGCAAGATTCAGCAAACAGAAGCAAACGGCAATCACAGATTTTTTTCTCATAAACTGCTTTGAAATAAATGTATTTTTCGTTCATTGTGGTCAATTGGAATTCCGCTTAATTCGAAGTTTTTCGCGGTCCCCGTGAACTTCGTATTAACGAGAGTCGACTGAATAAGGCATGTGCAAGTTTGATTCTTTTTGGTTCAGAGCAAGTAAAGCTACTTTGAGTAACAGCAGGATTTGACTTTTGGTAGGACTCCAGTGATAACCTGTAAAATAAGTTTTGTTTTAAAGTTTGTTCGACTTGCAGCACATCAGCCGGTATAACAAGCCTTTAAGAAAGATTAATCGAAGTGAGGGTAACATGTTAATTTAACCTTGACGTGGGGCTACACAGCAGTGCAGATTTCTTTAACAAGCGTAATCACGTGTCACACCTCCTTTGCATGGAGGGTTATTATACAAATTATGTTCATTTCAAGTACTAAGAAATTTGTAATAATTTGAATTCAAATACTGTAATATTTATAGGAATATTCAAAGTGCTCTAATATTTGCACAATCCTACTCCTGTCTAATCTAAATGTGCAACTCAGTGTTACACATTGTCGAATGTATGCTAAAACGAGCAATAATGCTGGAATGTAGAGTTTAGAAAAGATCAGCAAAAGCATTCAACTCCTACGAGTAAGATGCCCAATGAGCAAGTGCCAGAGGCCTCGAAATAGCTTCTCACCATGGAGGAATGTCCGTTGTGCACCGCTATCTGGAACAGTGGAGAGCCTTGCAGGAGCCCGTGCAGTTGTGCCAACTGTCCCCTTCACTGCAGGATGAACAAACATCTCGTTTTTCTACTGTAATTATACATAGTAACTTATGACACTATACTTCATGCTTTATATTGATACACAACAGCCGGCACAGCCTTGCTGCAAGAAAGAGAAAGACGACGTCGGTTTCTGGTTGTTGATGAACTGTCGCCATCTTTTTCGCCAAGCACGGTCCATCGTATATGATTTATTAAATAAGTTACTCGTAACATTATTGGTGGAGGTGGACGACTCCCGTACCTCGATGGAGACGCGCAGCGGTCGCAACACCAGGGACTCTTTGGCTACTTGAAGTTTGAAGTTTATTTCACCACAGTGTTACACCATACAATGTGTGGTGTGGAATGCGGGAAAAAAGCTGCGATAAAAACGCAGCTTGACTAGCCCCACATCCCATCAATGCAAGGCAGAAAAAGTGACGCCATTCATGAAGTCCTAGAAACAACTAAACAAACACAAATACATAGTTTAAAGTGGCACCAATAAGAAATATTGCATACATAAAATTTTAAAAAATGTTGATAGGATCGCACACTGAGGAAATACAAAAAATAGAAATAAGCAGCACATAAAAACAAATCTTTGGAAACAAATCTTTAGAAATGGCTAAATCTCTCTTGCGTCATGAAGGTAAAAAAATATTCTACATATCCTGTCGCGAAAGAAGGCGCAATTGTTCCAATTGTGATGATGTTTATTCGAGCAGAGAAGTCGCAACAAGGTTGCTACAAAAAATGGCCGTACGGCAAGCCTGGCAAAGGCGGCACAGGCTCTCGCGCAATCAGAGCACAGGGCTTTTAGTTATCTTCCGAAGGCGCATACGCGTTGGTGCGTATGCTCCACTACACAATGATAAATTGAATTCATTTAGTATGTGGGGGAGTGAATGTTTCAGCATTTGTAGACCATAGTTTGTTGGGCATCGAGGAACCTTCCAATAATCACTCTGTCTAGTAGGTCGAGACAAGGTGCTGCACTCTAAGCATGCTATGGAGATAAGATTGTTACTTCCTTTGTTAATTTCAGTTTTTAAGGATGCTAGTAAACAATATTCATACATGTTGTCAAATCTTATGACTCTGAAATTGTTTAATAAAGACAAGGTATGTGCATTATATTCGGCATTTTCAATAGAACGTAATGCATTTTTTTGTAGTGCGAGTAATTTCTGCTTAGAGTGCAAGGTTCCAGTACCCCACACCAAAAGACCGTAGCATAACTGGGAAGAAAAAAGCGTGTTGTATATCATTAGCATCTGAGTAGTCGGTAAAAATGACTGACATCTCCTAAGCATGCCTAGTACCTTACTTAACTTGTTTCTTACCATTTCGGTTTGGGAATCCCATAACATATTCTCATGAAAAACGATTCCCAATGCTTTAGCGGTCGAAGAAAAATCAATCACAGAATCGTGCAGGTGTAGTTTTGAAATAGCTTTGTACGTTGTTCCTTTTGAACGAAATAGGACGGCTTTGGTTTTTGAACAGTTAATTTGCAGGGAGTTACCAGTCGCCCATGCATACAAGTCATCTAGTGTCGTGTTTGCTGCTGAAATTAAGTCATTTACATCGACACCTGTGAAAAACAAGGAAGTGTCATCCGTATATATGACATATTCAATCATGTGATTTATGTTTATGATGTCGGTGACATAAGTGATAAAAAGTAACGGCCCCAATATACTACCTTGGGGTACACCTTGAGCAAGTTTTTGCAAAGATGATTGTTCTGTGTTTATACTTACACACTGTAGCCTATTGCTCAGATAACTGGTGATTAAGTTTAGCCCGTTTTCTCTAATGCCATAATGGGGCAATTTTTGTAAGAGGGTATTGTGATCAACTGCCAGTGCCTCATCACCACCGGCCTCTCGAGCCGGATCGACAACCTACGTCACCCTGCCACCCCTGCGGGATCCTGGCACTTTCTCCGCTGACGGTACCATCGACGTCGACTCCTGGCTGCACCGGTACGAGCGGGTCAGTGCTACCCACTGCTGGGACCCCACGCTCATGCTCGCCAATGTTGTGTTGTACCTCGACGGCACGCCGCGGACATGGTTCGAAACCAATGAAGCTGAAATCACAAGCTGGGATCTTTTCAAAAACGAAGATCCGTGATATTTACGGCAATTCATCTGGTCGTCAGCTCGCTGCCAAGAAGACTCTCGCCACTCGCGCCCAGACATCTACTGAATTGTACGTCTCATACATTCTCGACGTCTTGGTACTTTGTAGCAAGAAGTGTGGCAGCTTGGGCTAGTTGGTATGGCATGACGATAGTTATAGCGCGAGAACAAAACGACGACACAGAGACAAGAAGGACACGAAAGACACGAGCGCTAACTTCCAACTGAGTTTATTGCGCAGAGCACGAAAATATATAGAGGAGACAGGGACCATGGCACAAGAGCAGAACATGAGTAAGAAAACCAAAAACAAACAACACAAATACAAAGGCACTGAAAAACAGCAAAGAAAAACCTAGAAGAAACCGAACCAGAAAGGTAAAGCTACCTGCCCGCACCGAATCCTTCGAGGAACCTGCGTTCCTTCTCGGACTAAGCCACGGAGGGCTTACTAATCCAAGGCACCTGTTCGCGTTACCTGCCCGCACCGAATCCTTCGAGGAACCTGCGCTCCTTCTCGGACAAAGCCACAGAGGGCTTGCTAACACAAGGCACCTGTTCGCGTGCCATCTGCGCAGCCTCGACAATGACCCGGGTGCTTACATCTCTGTGTTTGTACAACGGCGCTGTTTCCTCGAAGAGGGGAACACACTTGCACTCGGTGCAGTGCTGGGCAAGAAAACCGTCTTTCCCGTTTTTAACATTGTTCGCGTGCTCTCTCAGCCGATCGTTCAGACACCTTCCGGTCGTTCCGACATAACAAGCACCACATGAAAGGGGGGTCCTATAGACGACTTCCCGGGAGCAGGCCGAATCCTTCGGCCCGGGAGCAGGCCGAAACATCGAAACAGGTATGCGGCCATGAAAGGGGGGTCCTATAGACGACTTCCCGGGAGCAGGCCGAATCCTTCGGCCCGGGAGCAGGCCGAAACATCGAAACAGGTATGCGGCCTGCTCCCGGGAAGTCGCCTATAGGACCCCCCTTTCATGTGGTGCTTGTTATGTCGGAACGACCGGAAGGTGTCTGTACGATCGGCTGAGAGAGCACGCGAACAATGTTAAAAACGGGAAAGACGGTTTTCTTGCCCAGCACTGCACTGAGTGCAAGTGTGTTCCCCTCTTCGAGGAAACAGCGACGTTGTACAAACACAGAGATGTAAGCACCCGGGTCATTGTCGAGGCTGCGCAGATGGCACGCGAACAGGTGCCTTGTGTTAGCAAGCCCTCTGTGGCTTTGTCCGAGAAGGAGCGCAGGTTCCTCGAAGGATTCGGTGCGGGCAGGTAACGCGAACAGGTGCCTTGGATTAGTAAGCCCTCTGTCTAGTAGGTCGAGACAAGGTGCTGCACTCTAAGCATGCTATGGAGATAAGATTGTTACTTCCTTTGTTAATTTCAGTTTTTAAGGATGCTAGTAAACAATATTCATACATGTTTTCAAATCTTATGACTCTGAAATTGTTTAATAAACACAAGGTATGTGCATTATATTCGGCATTTTCAATAGAACGTAATGCATTTTTTTGTAGTGCGAGTAATTTCTGCTTAGAGTGCAAGGTGCCAGTACCCCACACCAAAAGACCGTAGCATAACTGGGAAGAAAAAAGCGTGTTGTATATCATTAGCATCTGAGTAGACGGTAAAAATGACTGACATCTCCTAAGCATGCCTAGTACCTTACTTAACTTGTTTCTTACCATTTCGGTTTGGGAATCCCATAACATATTCTCATGAAAAATGATTCCTAATGCTTTAGCGGTCGAAGAAAAATCAATCACAGAATCGTGTAGGTGTAGTTTTGAAATAGCTTTGTAGTTGTTCCTTTTGAACGAAATAGGACGGCTTTGGTTTTTGAACAGTTAATTTGTAGGGAGTTAGCAGTCGCCCATGCATACAAGTCATCTAGTGTCGTGTTTGCTGCTGAAATTAAGTCATTTACATCGACACCTGTGAAAAACAAGGAAGTGTCATCCGCATATATGACATATTTAATCATGTGATTTATGTTTATGATGTCGTTGACATAAGTGATAAAAAGTAACGGCCCCAATATACTACCTTGGGGTACACCTTGAGTAAGTTTTTGCAAAGATGATTGTTCTGTGTTTATACTTACACACTGTAGCCTATTGCTCAGATAACTGGTGATTAAGTTTAGCCCATTTTCTCTAATGCCATAATGGGGCAATTTTTGTAAGAGGGTATTGTGATCAACTGCCAGTGCCTCATCACCACCGGCCTCTCGAGCCGGATCGACAACCTACGTCACCCTGCCACCCCTGCGGGATCCTGGCACTTTCTCCGCTGACGGTACCATCGACGTCGACTCCTGGCTGCACCGGTACGAGCGGGTCAGTGCTACCCACTGCTGGGACCCCACGCTCATGCTCGCCAATGTTGTGTTGTACCTCGACGGCACGCCGCGGACATGGTTCGAAACCAATGAAGCCGAAATCACAAGCTGGGATCTTTTCAAAACGAAGATCCGTGATATTTACGGCAATTCATCTGGTCGTCAGCTCGCTGCCAAGAAGACTCTCGCCACTCGCGCCCAGACGTCTACTGAATTGTACGTCTCATACATTCTCGACGTCTTGGTACTTTATAGCAAGGTCGACCAGCACATGTCGGAAGACGAAAAAGTTAATCACGTCCTCAAAGGTATTGCTGATGATGCCTTCAACCTGCCGATTTTTAATAATGTCACGAGCATCGACACGATTCTGTCAGAATGCCGCCGTCTAGAACAGGCTAAAGCCCGCTGCGTCACCCACGGCATCACGCGCCTGCTGAACACAGCTGCTACTTCCTCTTGTGATGACGCCGTCTGCACAGTTCCCCGATGTGACAACCTCACCTGCATCATTC